TTTTCAGTTACTTATTTAATATCTGTGCAATGTTCACTGCAGATTAATTAATGGAAAGTGCGTTCTGTTTTTGAAAAAAGTCACTTAATGACAAAACACAGTATCCTGATGCTTTGATTAGATTTAATTAGTTCATGCTGCCATGTGGGAAATGCAGCAAGATGCTGTGAGCATAAAAGAGTGCTATAATAATTAATCATCATTTATTTTATCTTATAATTAGCTTGCTGTTTGTCTATGGGGGACACAGTTAGTGTGACTTTCTCAGTGCAGTCAGCTATGGTACACTGGCCGACGATGAGCTCTGAATCACTGTTCACAACAATGCTAACTTAATGAACTATGGACTCAGTCTGTTTGCTAGACTTCATTTTGTTAATGCTACTTATTTCCTTCCCCTTTTTTCAAATATACTTTATCAGTGTCCAGTATGAATGAAAGATTGTGAAAATGCTCTGCCATTCGTCTTGGCTGTATTCATGTGTGCGCTCACAGCAAACATTTCTCCCAGGTTTCCTCCCCTGCGTATTAGTGTAATATGTTTATCTTGTCTGGCAGCAAATAATTAATGATGAGGCGGTTGCAACAAAAGGAAAATAAAAGATTGTTTTTCTTTCTTGCGAGGAGCCCATTTAAGCAAATATGAGGTTTGTGGATGTCATAGTTGAACAACAAAATTTCCATGTGGAAATCACTGTTTATTTAATCTGGCCTCTAATCTTGCTGTGGATACAAGTGGCAGAAATGAGCTTTTTCCGAAGGGTGGCTGGCTTTCTCTTTAGAGGTAAGGTACCGGTACTGATTTTCAAGTATAAGGGTAATGTGCAGAACTGCATCAGCTACAAAGGGATACAACTGAGGAGCCCTACTGTTATGCTATGGGAAAGACTTGCTGAAGCTAGGTTAAGAAGAGAGGTGTTGATCTGTGAGCAGCGGTTCCGCTTCGTGCCAGAACAGATGCAATGTTTTCTTTGGGAAATACATTTGCTGTCAGTTTGTCTAACCTACGGGACTGTTTCGTTTCCTAGTGACATCACTGCACAGTTTTATTTTTAGAAATGAAAGTCTTGTCTCCATATTAACCGAATCGTCTCAAAATCTTTTGTTGTAAATGTAAGTCATACGTAACTCAAATCTAAGTTTTCACTTGTTGAAAAGATAAGCATGGAAAAATCACATCAGAATGTTTTTTTATTCCACTAAAAAGACAGCACTACCTGAATCTGAATGCACAAAAGATTCTTCCATTTGCAGCTGAGGGTATAGTATATTTGGGAAACATTATCATCAGCAGTGCAATACCACACAAGAACAACAATAATAATAACATCATAAGTAAGAACAGATGTGTTATACCATCATAAACTGTGCAAGTTGTCAAATCCAATGCGATGCATTATAGTAAAGTTGCTTGGTGGATAAGGGGATTTACAGAAGTAAATCAAAACCAGTTGTTTAAAATAATGATTTAGTGCATAAGTGAGACCCTGTATGTGCAGCAGTTTTTAAACTGCATTTATTATTGTGACTGTGCAATCTAAATACTCCTCGAGGAGCTGGACTGATGCACACTTAAGACGGTGTAGAAGTTCATATAAATGAGCTTGCAGAGCTGTTCAGATTACCCTTTAGTTTGTGTTCTCGTTGATGCATTGAGTGTGAGTGCCTCATGAGTGAGTTCACATGCTGTCTTCTCTAAGGACTAAAAGGCTCCTGACTTGGCAGTGAAAACAGGTTCAGTGCATGTGTTTCTGTTAGTAGTACTCTAGAATCAAACGGGGGGTCTGAAAAAGCTGCAGTACCATGATAAGACAAAAAAAACAAGTAAATCCCATGTTAATATGCATGTTTACAGCCTAGGTCAAAAACAGTTTCAACTTCCCATGGGAGCTGATTTTTCTCATAACTCACCCCTCTGGATACCAGTAAGGCTTAAAGTTAGGGCCATGATCACTTAGATTGGGGTTACTTAGCAAATCCCCATCTCATTCAAATTTTGTAACTTCTGGTTTTAAAGAACCAATACGGTAACTGCCAAATGGTTAGTGAGGATTGAAAACGTGGAGAACAGAACCTGATGGGTGGGTGAAATAGAAAGAGGTATGTAAATCAATCTTCTACATACAGTCCATGCTTTAACTTGAGCCTTACAAGCTACTCTTCTAAGTACAGGACATGCTACTTGATTCAAATTATGAGGTGTGGAATCTTAAAGAAGTTATTATCAGTCATTTAAACCTAACGGTATTCTCACAAAAATATCAAATAGAACCAATTAAAATCCAGCCCAATGCTAAGGCCAAAATGAACAGCTGTGGTCTGTATGGATAAGAGGCTTTCAAATACAATAGAGCTGCCTTTGTATTACCTAGCCCAAGAGATATGAAAAACTCTGAAAACTGTGATTTAAATTTCTACCTCCACTTTATCAAAATGAAAACCTTATGATAGTAAGCGGTCAGTAACCACTGACAAAAGTGAACTTCTCAGCTGCAACTCTAGCACATCTGATATAACAGATGGCCATTTGGATGCAAAGGTACAGCATTTTTGTCAGCTTTTAAGTAATGTATGTTCTATTTGTATGCATCTTTTAGCAAACAATATTGTACACAACACACTGTACACTATTGTCATTTATACCAAAGGGTCTACAAAGAACAACTTAGAACAGTGTTCTGGCACTTTCATTTAATTAATAATTACCGTATTTTCTGCACTATAAGGCGCACTTAAAATCGACAGTGTGCCTCATAATCCGGTATGAATTCTGGTTGTGCTTAGTGACCTCGAACCAATTTTATGTGGCACATGGCGCTCAAAAATTTGTTTTGTTACCACTAAATTTAGCTACGAAGCCCCACCGCTTGATGGATTGTCGGAGCATTACGGTTACTGTAGTCAGGAGCCTTGCGGACTCGGAGTAATCTGGGTCGAAAACTCCGTCAGCTTCAGGTCCCAAAGTCAAACAAACACTGCAGCATCACTGAGAGTTAAAAACTGTCTAAATTCTTTCATCTTTAATAAAACGATCAGCGTTGCTGCTTTACCAGGT